TCAAGGTCATTTTGAGCTGATTTCAATTTAAATCCAGCACGTTGCGAATTTGACGGATCGATTTCGTCTCCGCTGCCGTCAGCCCAGTCTGAGTCATTTGTCTGCTCTTGACGCTTCGATCCAGCCTTGCTGAGTGCTGATTATCTTATTGACCGGCTCCAACTGCAAGATTGGATGAGCCGCCGTTACTGAGCCTTTTTCTGCTCGAATCGGCCTCATGTTGGCTTGTGAACTGATTGATTCATCATGAACTATTGGCGATTGGGCGATCTAGACCGTCTTGCGCTTTCGCTTCGGGCACACGACTCGAGCCCAAACCGGTTCAGCGCACAATCGACATGAGGAGGCTGGTCGCGACCGCCGATAGGACGCGGTCGAACTGGCCCCGGCGACTGGTGTTGAGCAAGACGGTGATGACGCCAGACTCTGTCTCGGAACCTGTGCGAGGCTGCGGTTGTGGACAGCAACAGCAATTGTGCAGGTCGTCCCGCCCTCCTGCCTGGTCGATTCACGGCCTAATTAAGTGTCCGGTCCTGCATCGTGGTCGCCATGACGCCAGGCAGTTTAGCAAATGGGCGGAGATGCGGGCCAGGCGTGCTATTGAAGAAGATACGGGCGCCGTTTCAGGTTGCAGCAGAATCAGGTTACACTGGCCCAGTCGTGAGGTTGGCGCAACAGGCTGGAGAGTGGCGCGAAATCTGAACCGGCCGGCATTCACGGCCTTCAGATGTAAGCAATCTTCGAGACTATCAGCCATTCTTGAATGAGCACTTTGTCAACTTGGGGTGAGTTGAAAACCGATGAGATCGCATGCGGTTATGCAATTCACAAAGCTTTGCTTCCTAAAAGGTCGACTGTAGTTTAGACGTCGTTGAGGTCTCGTCACTTCTCTGGGCCAGGCTACTTCGGTGGCTTAGTTTGCAGTGGAATTGTCCGTCAACCAAACTCGCATTTGCTATTACACTCGACTGCATTACTTATATTTTGAATGAATAAATTGCAAAAAAGTATTTATTCAAGATCCGGTTATTTTGATCAGATTACAAGTGATTCAGTCGGTGGTAATAGTACATGCGAGTTTGCCAACATTGACAGTTACGTGCGCTCTTTGACCCGGGAACTATGACCTGACAATGCAAAGTGGTGGCAGCCTCGAACATAGACGCTGCACTGCTCGATTTCTATTGTTGTTGAGGCTAAGTATGAGAGACGCAGTCGAGGTCGAAACTGTTGACCAGTCGAGCCGAAATGAGAGTTGTTTTTTAGGAAACAAGACTCAAGAAGATGTGAAGACCAAGATGTTGTGGCCTCGGGTATGGTCGCAGTCTCCTTTCGACTTATTGAAGTGG